ATTCGAACCATACGCCTCTGGGATTGTATAGTTGCAGCTCCTTGCCACTAGGTCACCAGAGCTCCCCTTCAATCAGGATAACTTCTAATCCTTAGGTTCTTTTACTGCTTTCAAATTTCACAGTCCTTGACTAAGGTTTATCTTCAATTAGTTTTCTCTTATCTTGCAAAAAATTAGTAACACAACTTTTGTTTAACCAACATCACCAGTTTGAAGTTGCAAGGAGTATTTTTTCCTTTGGCTGCTAAAATTTTAGGTGGAATATTAAAAACAAAGTATAAAAAAAGCTAAGTATACAAGATTTTAAAATCATTTATTATTATAATTATTATTAATTTTTGTTCCACAATCAGTACCTAGCCTAGTTTTCACCGCTGATATTGAGCTTCAACAGCTAGATGTTGATTGTGGAACAGACCACCAACTACTCATATGAAAGTTCAAGCTGAAGTTGAAGAAAATGAAACCAAATTCACAGAAACCAAAATTTGACCTTAACTCTATTCCACTCAAATTTCAAAACCATATCAGGACCAGGTTTGAGGCCTTGAACACCAAAGAGAGAAGACCAAAAGAGCTGTGGGAGGATATCAAGAATAGTATGAAGAATGCAAAAGGTCATTAGAAAGGCAGGAAGAAAAGATCAACATGGATGTCAGGTGAGACTCTGAATATTGCACAACAGGGCTGAGAAGCCGAAGCAAAGGGAAGAAATCAAGAAATTAAGGAGCTAAACAGAAGATTTCAAAGGGCAGCTTGAGACGACAAAGTATTATATTGAAATGAGCAAAGAGCTGGAGTCAGAAAAATCAAAAGGGCCAAACCTGCTCAGTATTTCTTAAGCTGAAGGAATGAAAAAACAAATTCAAGCCATGAGTTGCAATACTTAAGGATGCTTTGGACAAAATACTAAATGATTCAAGAAGCATTAAAAAAAGATGGAAGGAGTATACAGATCACTGTACCAAAAGGAACGGGCTGACGCACAAGAATTTCATGAAACAACATATGAGCAAGAGCCTGTGGTGATGAAGGAAGAAGTTCAAGCTGCTCTGAAACAACTGGCAAAAAACAAGGCTCCAGGAATTGACAGAATACTAAATGACCTAGTTAAAAAAAGTAGATGCTGCCCTGGATGTGCTAAGTTGTGCTAAGAAATCTGAAGGACAATTGACTGGAAGAGAGATATTATTTGTTCCCTTTCCAAAGAAAGGTGACTGAACAGAGTGTAGAAATTATCAAACAGTATCATTAATATCACATGTAAGCAAGATACTGCTGAAAATTATCCAAAAATGACTGGAAAGCACATCAACAGAGAACTGCCAGATTAAAGGCTGGGTTTAGAAGAGGTAATGGTACTAGGGATATTATAGCTAATGTTAGATGGGTCTTGGCTGGAAGCAGAGAGTACCAGAGGAATGCCTATCTGTGTTTCATTGACTATGTAAAGACATTTGATTGTGTGGATAACAACAAACTGTGGCTGACTCTAAGAACGTGAATCCCAAAACACTTGATTGTGATTATGCGAAACCTATACTTGGACCAGGAGGCAGTTGTTAGAACATAGCAAGGAGACACTGCATGGTTCAAAATAGAGAAGGGTGTACGCCAGAGATGTATTCTGTCTCCATACCTTTTCAATTTCTATGCAGAACAGATTATCTGGGAGGCTGGGCTCTATGAGGAGGAATGTGGCATCAGGATTGGAGTAAGATACATCAACAACCTGCATTACGCAGATGACACAACCCTGCTTCCTGAAACTGAGGAGGACCTGAAGCACTTGCTACAGAAGATCAAGGATTGCAACCTTCAATATGGATTGAAGCCCAACATCAAGAAAACAAAGATTCTCACCACTGGGCCAACTGGAAACATTATGATGGTGAAGAGACTGAGATTGTTAACAGCTTTAGTTTATTTGGTTCCTTGGTTCCACAAACAACATTTTTGGTATCACCAGCCAGGAAATCAAGAGATAAATTGCACTGGGAAAATCAGCCATCAGGGGGCTCTCCAGTGTACTGAAGAGCAACAACATCTGTCTGGAGACTACGGTACACCTGATGCAGGCCACAGTCTTCACAATTGCTTGCTATGTGTCAGAGAGCTAGACAATGACTAGGGATGATAGAAAGAGAATTGAAGCCTTCGAGCTGTGGTGCTGGAGAAGAGTGCTGAATATACCACAGACTGCCAAGAGAACAAACAGGTTCATCCTGGAGAGGGTGAAGCCAGGCTGCTCCTTGGGGGCAAGGATTCTGAGGTTTTGTCTGATATATTCTGGGCATGTTGGAAGGAGGGACCGGTCCTTGGAGAGGGACATCATGCTTGGTAGGGTGGAGGGACAGAGAAAGAGAGGGAGATCACTGATGAGGGTAGGTGTGTCAGAGACATTAAAGTTGGCAGAGAATAGAGCAGGTTTCAGGACTGTTGAACACAGGGTTACTATGAGTCACAAGCAACTGGATGGCACATAACAGTCATTTTTGTCATCATTCTTAGAAATGATGACAAATTAAAGTCATGCAAAGTCATAAAACTTGAGACAGGTGATATAAAGTATGAGTTTACTATGACTACATTTACAGTTTCCCACTAGGAATGATTTCTCTTAAGCATTTATCTCAACAGTCTAGAAATTGCTATAGAAGATACAAAGGAGCCCTGATAACATAGTTACAGTCACACTCTTGCAATAATGAAAGTCTTAAAATGCAGTTTTTCTCTCTCCTTAACTCGATACAGAAAAAAATATAAATGACTTCCTGAAACGTTCTCTAAAGTATCTATGAGTAGAATTCAAGGTTGGGAACATTGCTGCACTCACAATGTACTGTTATTACTATGTACCACAGAGTCAGAACTGACCAAAAATGGTGTTCTAGAGTGTTTCCAGAGGCTGTAAACCACAGAAGAGACTTCCCACCTTATTTGCTGTGGAGCAGCTTCAATGGTAGATTTGAAGGCTGTGCCTTTGGATTAGAAGTGTAACTCCCTAACACTTAACCCCTAGAGCCCTATGATGTATTAAGCAATATATTTTTATGGCAACAGACTCATCAACAACCTATGTTATGCAGATGACACAACCTTGCTTGCTGAAACTGAAGTAGATCTAAAGTGCTTGCTGCAGAAGGTCAAGGACTGTCATCTTCAATATGGATTGAAGCTCGACATCAAGATGACAAAGATTCTTTCCACTGGGCCAATTGGTGGCATCATAATAGATGGAGAAGAGATTGAGGCAATTAACAATTACAGCTTGCTTGGCTCCACAATCAACACTTTTAACACCAGCAGTCAGGAAATCAAAAGCCAAATTGCATAGGGAAAATCTGCTGTCAGGGACCTCGCCAGAGTGCTGAAGAGTAACGATGTCAGCTTAGAGACTAAGGTGCACCTAATCCATGCCATGGTCTTTGCAATTACTTGTTATGCTTCAGAGAGTTGGACAATGACTAAGGATGGCAGAAAAATAGATGTCTTCGAGTGGTGGTGTTGTAGAAGAGTCTTGAACATACGATGGACTGCCAAGAAAACAAATAGGTCTGTCTTGGAGAGGGTTAAACCAAGTTTCTTCTTGGAGGGTAGGATTCTTGAAGCTCTGTCTCACATACTTCGGGCATGTGGCCAGGAGAGATTGGTCCTTGGAGAAGGACATCATGCTTGGAAAGATGGACAGCACAGGAGAGGAAGACCCTGGATGAGATGGAGTAACTGGAGCAATGGGAGTTGGTGTGCTGTTGTGAGACTGGCTCAGGACAGGGCAGGGTTCAGAGTTGCTGTACATAGGGTTGCTACAGATGCCATATGACTTGACAACAAAGAACAAAAAACAATTTAAGTAATTTTTATTAAAGTTTTCTTTTAAATTTATCAGCACTAAGTAAAATTCTTCTCTATGACTAACAACAGTATTAACATTATTGAAACAAATTAAGCTAACACAATGATTATCAAGCATTTTACCACAAAGAAGCCATTACAGCTGTTACTTAGTGGGTTAAAAAATCTAGTCCCTAAGCTGAATGAGCTTAAACAATTCACCGTGAAATAAGGCAAGGCATAAAGTAACATAAGAACAAAACCGCCTAGTGGCAAGAAGCTGCAAATACAGTCCCAGAGGTGCATGGTTCGAATCCACCAGATGCTCTGCCGGTGAAGGAGGGGCAATCTCCTCCTGTACCAGTCAGATCTGATTTGACGGTACACGCACACAAAAATAATAAAATTTAAAAAAAAAAAAAAGAACAAAACCATGATTAGAAGAAATGATGGGAGAGACATTTACAAGGGACCTTGAGAGAGCAATATTCAAATGTGTAAGGTAGTAAAAGGGGAAGTAAGTCTGAAAATGTTGAAAGGTGTATCTTGCATCTTGCCTGTGAAGTTGGGAAGAGCACGCATGGAAGGCAAGGGCTCCTTGATACAGGGCTGGCACTGAAGCTACAAAGTGCTTCAGCTGGGAAATCCAAGAGATGATTTAAAAAAAACTGCATAGATACAGGTTTAGAGAAAGTGAGGACATACCCCCTGGGGCTCAGGCACTATTTCTTAAGGAAAGCAGTAGGAGAGAAAATGTTGCTGCTAGACTGTGAAAAGATACTGGGATTTCTGTTGGTTGTGAGCACTGAGTATTTCCTATGAGCAGGGAGAACATTCTACACCAACACATAATGAAAGAGGGTGAGTAGCATAAAGTTCCATTTTAGCTGTCCAACTCTGAAAAGGATGAAGGCCTGCACCAAAATCAAATTAGGGAGTCAAGGGGTCGGGGGAAGAGGGAGAGAAGAGTTGACACTAATTACTTTCAGGCCAGGAATTATATTCAAGAGTTCTAATTTGAAATCATACCCAGCATGGAGAGAAGGAAACAACTTAGTGGAAAGGAGTTGTCCTGACAACATCAAGGTTCACAGTTTTAATCAATCAGAAACTCCTTGGGAAAAAGATGGACAATTTCCTCCCATGTGATTACTGCCTCTGAAAACTCCCTGGAGGGTCAGCTATGACAAAACAAACATGGAGAAAAGCCAGCCAGTGTCTGTGCCTGCATACCTTCTGGGCTATCATGTTGCAGATCTCGGGCAGAAAGTCCTCACTGAGGAGCTTGTAGAGCTGCCGTTCTCGCAGGGATGTCCTCTCTCGAAAACTCTCGGTGACCTGTCTCCACTCTTCTTCAGTCTGGCACAGGAGCCACCATGTGCCTTGGCCTGGCCCTTGGGAGCCTAGAAAAGATGGACAAAGGCACTACAATAGCCTCTTTTCTTGCTACTTTCCTTCAATTTCATTTCAAACCAAGGTCAAAATTAAAATGCGGGGGGGGGGGCGGGAAGGGAGAAGAGGTGACACTAAATACTTTTAGTTCCACTGTTATAGTTAATGTTTACAATTAAATTTAACAATGTCTGAAAGCAATACAAGTCTGTTTCACTTTTGTAAGATTTAAATGCCCTGTTGTTAGTTGCCATCAAGCAAATTCTAACTCATGATTACTCCATGTATGAAGAGGAGAATTGGGTCCTCAAGGTTTAAAGTTTGTGACCTTGGAGAAGGGGATTGCTGGGCTTGTCTTCTGTGACACCACTGGTTGGGTTTGAATCTCAAGTGTTTCAATCTGTCCCCTCCCAGGGACTTCTTTCAGTATTTTAACCAAAATAACCTAACCCCTTGTTGGCAGAGTGTTTCTAAGTCATAATCACCGTTCAGGGCAAAGAAGAAATGCCCCAAAGTGTTCCAAAGCTACAAATCTTTATGGTTAGAGACAAATACATCTTTCTCTTGTGGAGCGGGTGAGGGGTCTGAACTGTCAGCCTTCTCATTTGTAGACTACTTACTGCCCACTGTGTCACTAAGCCTTGTTTCAATGACTAAAATGCTTTTCCATAAAAAAAATGCTTCTGAGATTTCTTATGTATGATGTAAGAGTTTGAGTCTATATACCCTCCAAATTAAAAAAAAAAAATCTGGATTACAAAAAAATAAAATAAACATAGGAATCCAATATTCTCTTTAAGTAAAGCTGTTGGTAGTAAAAGAATTTTCTGTGAGAAGCTACTCATTCATTCCAAACCTAAGTATCTATTGAACCGGACCAAGCAACAGGACACAAACATGAAATGTCCCAGTCTTTGCCTCAATTTATAGAAAAGTAAAGATGAATTAAGAAGGCTCACTAGAAGACTACCACAATAACTCTATTATTCTGAAAACAATGTTGTTGGTGGTGCTGCTGACTTGAGTACAACTCAGAGACACAAACAACAGATCTGAGCCTGGGCCTGTTCTGTGCTCATCACCTCTGACACAACTGAGCCCTTTGCTGCAGTCATAATGTCAACCTATCTGGTGGAAGGTTTGCTGCTCTCACAGACCTTTCACCTTTCCAAGCATGATGGTCAAAGAATAACCTCTTCTAGAGTCATGCTCAAAGTATGTGAGATGAAGCTTCATTATCCTTATCTCTAAGGGGCACTCAGTCATCATCGTAATATAAACTGGTCACATTTCTATAATCTATTATTCCCCACCATGGACATTACCATTTCTTGTCTGTCCCTCAGATGTCAAGGTGCTTTCTTCCTGTTTTTCACTAAAACACAGGAAAAGGAGATTTCAACAAAAACAAACACATATTCAAACTTGTTCTGTATAACCCATAGATGATAAACCCACTTACCTTTGCTGTAAGGACTGTTGGTGCATGTAAAGGAAGCAAGGCTAGGAAAAGGAGCGATTCTGTGCTGTAACCAAGCACCAGGGTGCAGACGTGCCACTCTGGACTCTTTACCCCTCAAACACTGATAGGTCAATCAATGGTATAGCAACATCAACGTGTATGAAAACACCATTTCAAACACTACTTTGAAATCAAAGAGTATCTCGAAAATAATTCTAATTTTCTTTCTTATTTAAGGCTACAATGAAGATATCAATATCCAACCACAACCATTGCCATTAGAACCATTCTGACTCAAAACAGCCTTAAAGAATAATATAGAAATGTCCTAGAGGACATTCAAGGCCCTAAACCAGTACAGAAACAGATGGCCATATCTTTCTTCTGCAGACTAGCCAGTGGGGTTGAACCACAGGCCTTTTAATTAGCAGTCAACTGCTTAATCACTCTGCAATTAGGGCCGCTAGATGGAAGATAAGGCATATTTAATTTAGGCTCACAAAAGGTAAATGGTAAGAGCATGGCCTGTAAAAAGTCAGACAATGCTAGTCAAATTCTATTATGTGACTTTAAGAAATTAATGTACTTGGAAAATATGGGTATCCTATGTAAGTGTGCCTCACAGATGGCTGGAATAGAATTATGAAATACAAAAACATTAATGGTATGTATTATCATCTTAACTTTGAAATCTGAAGGTCAGTATATATGGATTTTGCATGTCCTTTCAAATATTCAATAGCAGTGCTACGCAAGAGGATTTTCTAGGAGAACAGACAGTACTTTATTTGTGCTGTCCAACAGGGCAACTACGGCTATGACTTATAAACAACTGAAGTGTGGCTAGCATGACTCAGAATCCATATCTTAAATTTTATCCAATATAAAAATATTGAAACTTAAATGTATTTGAGTATTATGTTGGATTTGGAGTGCTTAAGAATTAAAGTCACCAGCAGAGGGTAGCATAAGTCTATGTATCCTTATTGAGTGATTTCACAGTGTTAAAATCAAGACAATTTAATTGTTGTTATAGAAAACAATCAGTATAAAATAACTTCCTGCATAGAGACAGATTCAGCTGCTTATCATATAGATGGCCTATGTTTAGAACACAGTGTTTATAATACACCTCTCACAAGAAAACTGCTGGATGAGGCAGCTTCAAACTGCAGAAATTTAAGTGAAACGGAATTGTGATAGTCAAATTCTAATTCGTCTATTTTTTTTTTTAAAATCTAATTTCCTAGAAATGCTTTTCAGAGTTTGATGAAGTGGTTCTAGTATTTACAGGGAAGTTTGCCCTATGTTGTTAAAAATGTAAAAAAAAAAAAAAAAAGTCAAGAGTATGGCCTACCTACTTTCTATATATTTAATTATGATAAACCTATAGCAAAAAGTATATTTAGACTTGTATATCTGAGTCTGAAAACAAATATTGCTATGTTAAAATTTCCCTGTAAAATAAAAATGGAAAAAAAAAAACCCCCAACAAACCACAAAGACAAAAAACTACAGGAAATGCTTTCAAGAATTAGTTCTTTTTTAGTTGCTGGAATTAAATATGAAAATGCTTAAGATCTTACTTGTTTATTATAAAATAAAAGCACAGTGGGGAGAAGAATAACTAGTAAGAAAAATGGTGTGGCAGATTGGGGTGCAATCACTGGGAGGAGAGTGTTTCATGGGAGGCGGGAGGGCATGGGGAAGTTATGGAAGATTCAATGGGGAACCTGGCATAGATCAATGGTGATTATTTTATAAAACACAATGTCTATGAATAATCATATGAAACAATGTAAATGAAGGAATTTTGTGAAACAATGTACACGAATGAAACACACTATACAGATTTTGTATGCAAACCAATGTAATTGGGAAAAAAATTGGCATATGCTTATTTTTAAAATCTCTTTACCGAGAACACATTACTTCTAAACTCATGTATGACAGAATTTTTAAAAAATGCTGATCATATGTCAACATACTCAGAAAAATAACTTGTTTCACCATTTTGTTTAAAAAACAGCACAGCAGTTTATCAAAATTTTAAACCCACTATGGATCACACATAATTTTAAATTCTTTACACTATAACATGTATCGTCAATTTAATTCTCATTACAATCTCATTGTCCAATAAGTGGTAATTAGAAAACAACTGTCCAAAATTAATACGCATTGTCTGAGATAATTTGCTAAGTTATGGCTTCCTCATTCCCTGGTAAACACTCAGTAATTGAATAAGGACTCAGGTCTCCATCCTCCACTAAAGTTCAATGTCCTGCCTCATCTGTGGCCTGATGATGAACAAGTGAACTCTGAGGTCCAGCCCAACATGACGACCAGTGACTGACTACACACTAACAAGGTTTTTACCTCACTGTAATCTCCTCTTGCAATTTTTTCCGTTTGGGAGGTCTTCCTCTTCTTTTGCCTGTTTTTCCAGGCACACTGGAGACATTTTTCTGTCCTTCACTTTCTCTAAATAATACCATAATAACCAGAAAAGATCAGTCAGAGAAATGATATATTATATGACTAAATTTATAATTACAGGATTAAAACATGATTACACACACACACACACACACACACACACACACAAGTCACAAGCAAGCAAGAAAAACTAGCATTTTACAATGTTATAATCTGAATATAATCTAATATTATCCCAACAGTGATCACTAGTCCTAGCAATTATGCAATCTAAATAAAAGAGGCTGGTATCTTCCTGGGATGCTATGGTGTGGAAAGAAGATCTTTTCCACTTTTAAGAAGGTTGATGCTTCCTGGGTCTTGTAACATCCTTACACTACTTTATCTTAAGATTTATATAGCAGACATTCAATTCTGGTGGGGGTGTGTGTGGTAAAAACTCCTTAATTCTCAATGATTAATTGCAAAAGATGAAAATGGTTAACACTGAAACGACTGTACCACCAAGAAGAATTTGACTGCACAGAGTGCATAAGAAATGTCTCAAAAACCTCACATCAAAAAGACAGTATCTTTTACTACTAGTAACAGAAGATATAGATCAGTAACTTTGAGTTTTTATCTAGCTCCTTGTCTCTTATTTGCAGTCTTGGTATTACTGTTCATTTCATCACTGAGGTGATACTTGCTGTACAACTGCAACAGCATTTTATACAGCTAGCATAGCAACTTCAAACGCATAGTTAAAATTCACCAGGTGCAATGCAGGAGAAGGATGGACAATCTCCTCCTGTGTAATTTACTGTGTCTGAAAACTCCCTGGAGGTCAGCTATGATTTGGTTCAGAATTGGCAGCACACAACAGCAGCAGCAGGAGAGCCTTTTCTTGCAGTACATACCTGCTCAAAGAGAGTTCTCCATTGGATTTGCCTTGCACAGGGTCCTCCTTGTACATTCGTGTTCCATAGAAATACCAATATAGTGCTCCTGAATTGTCTTCACCCAGTGGTTCCACCCGGAGACTATCTGCATCCAAACCCTAGGAAGAAGAGGAAAAACAGGGTTGGGGAATAAAATTTACACTCTGACACACTTGTTTAAAAAAATTTAATCAAGACTGGTACTGTCGTGAAGAACTGAGTACAGAAATATGTCAAATGCTCCCACTCTTACCACTGCTCCACTTTGGGGGTGAGAGAGGAATTTTGATGGATGCGGTTTATATTTGTTAGGATTTTGCTTGTACTCATCAAAAGAAAGGCAATTACAGTAGCCTCGAATGAGATGTTGTGTAAGCTCTGTCCCATGTGATCCTCTATTGTAACTCCATCATAACCTACAGCAACCTCTTATTCCAGCTGAGCTCCAGCAATACAACTCCCAATTTACCCCAGGGTCTGACCTGTACTGGCCTCCGGACTGCTATTCAAGTCCTTGCGTTCTCAGCAAAGACTGAGCTAAATTACACAATGATTTTTATAACATGGCCATGAGCTGGGCTGAACTGAGAAGTCATCAACACATTTAATCATTTCTGATTGAACAGGATTAGAAACTGACCTCCCTATAAGGGGAACACAATAACCCACAGCCTCCCTCTGTGGCTGACTTCAAAAACAGGTAACAGCAATAGAAAAATGAAGAGGAGGAAGGAGAGAGTCGCATGTTTTCCCTCTCCAGAACATGTCAACTGTATGAACATATGAGAGGTTTATTTATGGTCTTTTGAATTTTCAATAAATGTAAATTATTCAATTTAGACCTTCAGAAATGAAAGACAATTCATGGGCTAGTTTAGCTGGAAGTCAGGCTAACAATAGGGAGAAAAAAATAATATAAAAAAAATCTAAACCTACTCCTATTGCAATGAGTATGCCTCACAGCAATCCTGTAGAATGCAGTGGAATGCTCCAAAGGGTGTCCAAGCTTGTGAATCCTGAAGAATACTACCACACTTCTCTCCTGTGGAATAGCTGGTTGGTGAGTTTAGATCACTAATCTTTGATTACTATTAGCAGAAGAAATAGGTGCCTCCCCTTATTCTCAAGGGATCTCTGGTGGTTTAATAGTAAGGAATTGTGCTGCCTACACAAAAACACAGTTCGAATCCGCCAGTCACTCTGTGGGAGAAAAAAAAAATCTCCTCCCATGTAATTTATTACCTCTGAAAACCTGCCAGAGGGTCAGTTACAGGTGGTTCCAACTTGATGGTACACAACATTATTGCTATGTCAGCTAGGATTCAGAGTACATAAAAGAAAAGCAAACTAGAAATGAAACAAAATAACATAAAAACAACTTAGTTGATTCTGACTCAAAGGCAATCTTCCACTGATTTCTGAGGTTGTACTGGCAGCATCAGGATGGATGGTGAAGAGATTGAGATTGTTAACAACTTTAGTGTGCTTGGCGCCATGGTTAACACTCTTGGCACCAGTAGCCAGGAAATAAAAAAATGTATTGTGATGGGAAAGTCTGCTGTTAGGGACCTCTCCAGGGTACTGAAGAGCAATGGTGTCACTCTGGAGACTAAGGTGCATCTGATACAGGCTACGGTCTTTGCAATCACTTGTTATGCATCAGAGAGTTGAACAATGACTAGGAAGGATAGAAGGAGAATTGATGCCTTTGAGCTATGGTGCTGGAGAAGAGTACTGAATGTACCCTGGACTGCTAAGAAAACAAACAGATTCATTCTGGAGAGGGTTAAACCAGGCTGCTCCTTGGAGGCAAGGATTCTGGGGCTTCGTCTGACATACTTTGGAAATGTTGTAAGAAGGGACAGGTCCTTGGAGAGGAACATCATGCTTGGGAGGGTAGAGGGATGGCACAAGAGAGGAAGACCCTCTATGAGGTGGATTGATTCAGTGACTGGGGTAATCGGGATTGGTGTTTCAGAGGCAGTGCGATTGGCACAGGATAGAGCAGGGTTTAGGGCTGTTGTACATAGGGTTGCTATGAGTCTCAAGTGACTCGACAGCACATAACAATAACAAATCTTCCTACTGCAGAACAGCTGTTGAATGCTAACCACTACTAAACTTTCTAGACTGACATCTAGTGCACTAGCATACTAGAGTAGATAGTCATACAGATTTCACTGGCTAAAGTGGTCAAAGTTTTGTAAACAATGTTACTATCAGCCAAGAGGCTTGTAAAATGACAAACTCTGGCTTCTCTTATGTTGTTTAGATTTTGCACTCTAAATACATTATCAATGGTGACTCTTTCTTCTTTTAAGAAAGGGTGTGCCAGCACCTTGAGAAGATCGAAGACATCATCTGCATCGAGCCGATAATCACAGAGGCGATGCAGGATTTCCACACGAGTCCGAAGAGGGAGTTCCTGGAAACTGGCTTCTCGCAGAGGGTTGGGTTTTCCTTCTTCAAGCTCCCAGCGATAGTTGATGATGTCCTCCAAGTAGCTGTGGAATGTCTGAGGCCTGTCCAAAGGGCCCCAAACACAAACACACATTAATGTAAAATAGTGGAAAGACAGGTGGGAGAGAGAATTTATAGTCTGTCAGCTGACAAATTTCAAATAAAAAGCAAGAATGAGCAACAGAAACAAGAAGCTCTGATTGCGCATTATGCTAACTGAACTAACTCAGTCCCAAAGGACAAATACTGTATAAAACCATTATTGTATTAATAAAAAAGATAACTAATAAAATGCGTATGAGGATCCGGGGGGGTGCAGAGGGGTGTGGACGGGCCGGGGGCTGGTAATCATAGGGTCACACAAGTTGATGGGTAGAAGGATGGGTGAGTAAAGAAAATGGGGAAAATCTGGTATTAAAAACAACGTATACAAACTTTGTAAGTAAATTAGTACAAAATAAAAATTTTCTAGAAAAAAAGAAGCTCTGACTGGCCTTCACAGAACATTGTTATTGCTGTTGATTGCCATCAAGACAAGCACGATTCATAGCGACCCTACGAACACAAAGTCTTAAGCCTTTCTATAACTACTGTTTTTTTTTTTTTATGGAAAAGTAAAAGAAAAGATTCTTTCATTGTTTTACAAACCCTCCCCCAGGTCCCCTCCACCATGCAGCCCTCGCTCTAGTCTCCTGTGATGGCAGAAATACCCAGTTACATCTCTCTTTTAGACGGTTCTCTCCCTCCTCTGCTTCAGTGCAGTATACATTATTGAACCCATCTTACTCAGTGTCTCCCCAACCCCAAGGACAGTCCCATTCTACAACAGTGGCATCATGTAATATTTGTCCTTTTGTGACTGGGATATTTCACTCAGCATAATGTTCTCCAGAGTCAACCATTTTGAATAATATTGCATGAGTTCTTTGTTTTTCAATGCAGCATAGTATTCCATTGTGCGAATATACCACAGCTTCTCTAGCCATTCGTTTGTTGATGGGCACTTAGGTTGTTTCCAACTCCTTGCTATTGTGAACAAAGCTGCAATGAACATGGGTGTGCATATATCTGCTTGGATGTCAGCTATGGTCTCTTCAGGGTATATTCCCAGTAGTGGAATTGCTGGGTCAAATGGTATCTCTATTTGCAACTTTTTGAGAAAGCGCCATACTGCTTTCCACAGGGGTTGCACCATTTTACACTCCCACCAACAGTGAATCAGGGTTCCAGTTTCTCCACAACCTCGCCAGCATTTGTTGCTTGCTGTTCTGTTAAATTTTGCTATTTTGACTGGGGTGAAATGATATCTCATAGTTGTTTTAATTTGCATCTCTCTTAGGGCTAGGGATTTTGAGCATTTCTTCATGTGTTTGTTAGCCATCTGAATGTCGTCTTCGGTGAAGTGCCTGTTCATATCCTGTGCCCATTTTTCTATTGGATTATTTACCTTTATCTTGTGGTGGTGCTCAAGTATTTCATAAATTCTGGATATAAGTCCCTTATCTGATATGGTATTACCGAATACTTTTTCCCAGTCAGTGGCTTCCCTTTTTACCCTACTGGAGAAGTTTTTGGATATTTCTCCAAGTTCACAGTTTCCAGAGGCATGTGGTTTAGGAAGTGGGTACCACTCCTGCTTCCAAACCCATCTTAAACTAGGAGCTCCATCAAACACTGTCCACCAAGGGCGGCTGCTGTGGCATTTGACCCCCCCAATGGCACAAGGTTCAGTATCACAACAAACCTAGATTACCTCAGTACAACAAACTGACAGGAGTGCCATACAACTTAGAAAAATGTTCCTCCAAAGCGAAATAACACTAGACCCTCGGGCCCAACTGACTTTTAAATACAAGGGCCCTCCATATATATAATGTCCAGTGCCTTCACCCAGTCTCCAAAACGGAGACAAGGGCTTGGTCTTAAGTGCAAGTGTCCTCCTGGAGGTCTTGTTGACTCTACAAGAGGCTTAAATAAAAAACAACCAAACAAACTACACAGATCCTCAATCAGAACATTACTGTTGTATTTTAACTGTCAAATCACAAATAAACCTTAAGTTATAAGGACTTTCCAGGAAAATCTTTTGTACTTTGAACAGTAAGTAGCCCATTCTGGTGTAACAGGTAAAAACCTTACTCTTGCTCCTACAATTAGTGAAACTCAAAATGGATCAAATCCTAGTCAATGCTACTTAATTCACTTGTACATCAAGGTAAGATGCAAAATGTAGAAGCATTCCTAGAATCCAGTAGAATACTTCAGTATGAAATAATTTTATGTTAAATAATACATAAACTTCAGGCCAATGTTATACTAGGTTCTGTATTTTAAAGACTGGTTTCCTAATCAAAACACTTTAAAGAAATATTAATGACAACTTAAACACTGTGGCTGGAATTTTAATTTTTCTTCAAATATTCTGAATAGTATTCTAATTTTTTAAAAGATTTAATGGTCAGATGGTTATTCTATATGTTAACTTTAAAAATCTGGATATAATTTCACTACATACTTGATTTTAAATATTTTTTTTCTCAATAAGCTAAGACGTCTACAGGAATTATGTGACAAACTAATGAAAAACAAATGTATCATGTTGATTTAAAGCCTATAGTGGTATTTACAGAAAGATAGTCAGGAAATATTCAGGGGAGGACCCCCCCCCAATGAGTAAATAAGAAATTAACAACTTCACTTTCCTAAGAGAAAAAACCCAACTTTATCTTACTGAGGCAACTGTGAAGGTATTAGTTTATCAAGATACAGCACAAGAATTCCTAAACAGTAAACCACCCCCACTTTTGGGGTTTTCTGGAAGCAAGGTTCAAAAAAAAAAAAAACCCAAACAAACCCCAAAACAAAACAACCCCCCCTCCACAACGCAAGGCTGGTTTTTCCTGCTGTAAAATGACTTATCTGTGACATTGTGCTTGTTTCACTAGAGACAATCTAGTAGCAGCTCTACTGCAGGATCCATCAGGGGACATGCTGGGCTGAGACAGGGAGACTTCTCTTATTCAAACTCAGACAAAAGAAGCACACAAACAAACCAGTAGAACAAACACTGACATATATGTGTATAAACAGTGTTGTTCTTTCAGCCTATAATCTGTCTGAAAGCCTCCACTTGTCTCAAAGAATTGCATGTTTGAGATTCCTTTCCAATAGCCTTATTCTACTCAGTTTCAATTATGTCACTTCTGCTAGAAGTTTTCTTACATAGCTCCTTAACACCTTAACGAGATAAGGGACAGGTTATGATTGTAGAGAATTCATCTTCTTGCATAAACATCATTCTTTTCATATAAATCTCCATCCTTTCCCTTTCGAGATCAGAAACTGAAGGCAAAAAAGACTTCTGAAGGCAGAGATACTGGACAAGGGAAAGTTGACATGAAAAGGCTTTAAGAAACAAGATAATCAGGCCAGTACTCTCTGGATTATCATTCATAAAGTTCAACAGGGAATAAACCTTACTGAATTTCCATTAAGTATTTAAGATAATAAAACAACTATGAGATATCATCTCACCCCAGTCAAAATAGCAAAATTTAACAGAACAGCAAGCAATAAATGCTGGTGAGGTTGTGGAGAAACTGGAACCCTTATTCACTGTTGGTGGGAGAGCAAAATGGTGCAACCCCTGTGGAAATCAGTATGGTGCTTTCTCAAAAAGTTGCAAATAGAGATAATATTTGACCCAGCAATACCACTACTGGGAATATACCCCGAAGAGACCTAACTGACACCCAAGCAGATATATGCACACCCATGTTTATTGCAGCTTTGTTCACAATAGCAAGGAATTGGAAACAACCTAAGTGCCCATCAACAAACGAATGGCTAGAGAAGCTGTGGTATGTTCGCACAATGGAATACTATGCTGCATTAAAAAACAAGGAACTCATGCAATATTATTCAAAATGGTTGACTCTGGAGAACATTATGCTGAGTGAAATATCCCAGTCACAAAAAGACAAATATTGCATGGTGCCACTGTTGTAGAATGGGACTGTCCTTGGGGTTGGGGAGAGACTGAGTAAGATGGGTTCAATAATGAATACTGCACTGAAACAGAGAAGGGAGAAAACTGTTTAAAAGAGATAAGTGATTAGGTATTTTTCTGTCATGACAGGAGTCTAGAGCGATGGTTACATGGTGGAGTGGACCTGGGGGAGGGTTTGTAAAATAATGAAAGAATCTTTTCTTTTACTTTTCCAAGAGGGTAATGTCTGGTTGGGGGGGGGGGGGCAGAGCCTTGGGAGAGGACAAATCTACAACAATGAATGAATGGAAATCCAAAGCCTCTGTAAATTTTCACTGAAATTAATAACAAATTTAAATTTAAAAAAAAAAGAGTTAAGTTAGAGTAAGGATGGCAATGGAACCACCTTACCTCTGTAACTTGATTTGTGCCACTATTAGAACCTCTACTCAGAATATTATTGCTTTTCAACTGTTGACTCATGCACTTTTAACTTGTTAGTTAAATTTGTATCTTCTAGGCTGCAACACTTCCATGATACATCTTCAAGGATATGAACATGTACGGCTAAGCACAACTGATTAACAGTGCATCTAAATTCCAAAATCAATCTCCATAATAGTCTATGTGTTTCCTACTGCCAAAGGGGCCCTTTAGAGTAGTGAGAGAAGACCTTCACCTCGAAACCCACAGCCTCCCTTTTCAGCAGGAAGTAACTAAGAGAATACGCGGTCCCCTTTTCCTTATGACTCAGGGTGAAGTCTCTCTCAGGGAGGAGTGATAGGGAATGGCAAGGGACACACTGACAAAGGAGATTAATCAGAACTGGCTTTGACAAGCACTGTGGCAATTGGACAATTAAAACAGACTTGGGGGAGGGAAGAAGAACGAACTGGGGAGGAGGGTAGAGCAGTGCAACAATGAATGAATGAAAACCCAAAATCTCTGTAAAAGTTCATTAAAACTAATAAAATTTAATAATAATAAAAAAAATTCAAGATAAAAACTATATTCTTTCTTTTCCAGAAATAAGGGCGGAATACAATTTTGCTACCTGATGGAAAATGAGAGCAG